TAGCTCGACTCACTTGTTGATCACAGCTGACCAGACAGCACAGATTCTTAATTGGAAATATCACACAGCCAGCCCAAATAAAGTCTGTGAGGGAATCTCAGACTTCCTTCTGGAACGTCACAAGTCAGGCCTCCATTCTCAGTGTCATCCTTTAGCATCATCTGCCAAGTCCACAGAATAGGTTATTGAACTTGAGCACCCAATGTCTTTTCTAGACAAAGGTTCAGAACACTTTCCTTTCTCCTACAAAATAGTCCAGGGCATAAAGTCCTCATGGTTAGGTCCATCACAACAGTCTCCCACCCTGGTACCAGTTTCTGTCCTAGTTTACTTTCTGTTACTGTAATAAAACACTGTTCTATTGCTGTGAAGAGACAGTGTGACCAAGGCAACTCTAATGACAGGCATTTAGTTGGGGGCTTGCTTATAGTTTCAAAGGATGGACTAAAGTCCATCATGGTGGAGAGCATGACAGTGTATGGGTCATTATGGTGCTAGAGAGGTGGTTGGAAGCTACATCCTGATCTACAGGCAGAGATAGAGAGGGCTAGACAGACAGAGAGACAGACAGATGTGGGCCCTGCTGGCTGGCTTGGGCTTTCGAAACTTCAAAGCCTACCTCCAGTGACACACTTCCTTCAACAAGGCCGCACCTCTTAATCCTTCTCAAATAGGGCTACTTCCTTTGACTAAGCATTCAAATATTTGAACCTTTGGGGGCCATTATTATTTAAACCTCCATAAACATTGAGCAAACACAGCTCGGGTGAGGAACTAGTTTTCTTAGCATACAGGTTACAGGCCATCCGCAAGGGAAGCCACAGCGGAAACTCAAGGCAAGAACTGAAGCAGAGGCCATGGAGGAACACTGCTTACTGGCTTGCTTCCACTGGCTCATTCAGTCATCTTTCTTACACAGCCCAGACCCACCTCCCCAGGGCTGGCAGCATCCACAGTAGACCGGACACTTCTACCCTAGTTAGCAATCAAGAGAATCCCCTGCCCAGACGTGCTCACAGGCCAGTCAGATGGAGGAAATTCCTCTATTCAGGTTTCCTCTTCCCAGGTAAGCCAAGGTGACAGCCAAAATTAGCCATCACAAATACTCTTCAACCTATTTCACAAAATAGAAAGAGAAGGAACAATTCCCAGTCATTCTTCAAAGCTGATATTATCCAAACAGCCATATTGGTAAGAAAAAACACAGTAAGAAAACCACAGTTTTCTTCAGTAAAACAAAGTCAACACTATAAAGGCGACTGGGGTAGTGTCACTGGTGTCATTGTAGGGATGCAAGTGTGGTTCAGCATATGGCAGTCAGTATATGCTGAAGTATAAGTATGACATGGGATGTAAATAAAACCCAGGACAAGGACATTTCAGTAGATGCAGAAATAGTCTTTGACAAAATTCAGTATCACTTTATGATAAAAGCTAAAAACAAACAAAAAACCAAACAGACTAGAATCGGAAGGATCCTATTTAACATAATAACAGCACTTCCTCTAAAATCAGGAACGAGACAGGGATGTCAAGGGTTCTCACTCTTGCTTACTGTGGTGCTTAACTTCTTGGCTAGAGCAGTCAGGCCTGAGAAACACTTAAAGTGATACAGATAAGAAAAGTCATGCTCGTTTTTAATTGCTGAGTAGTATTCCATTGTGTAAAAGTACCACTGTTTCTGTATTCATTCCTCAACTGAGGGACATCTGGGTTGTTTCCAGGTTCTGGCTATTATTATGAAGCCAGCTATTATAAAGCTGCTACAAACATGGTTGAGCAAATGTCCTTGTTGTGTACTTGAGCCTCTTTTGGATATATATGCCTAGGAGTGGTATAGCTGGATCTTGAGGAAGCGCTATTTCTAATTGTCTGAGAAAGCGCCAGATTGATTTCCAAAGTGGTTGTACAAGTTTGCATTCCCACCAGCAGATTAAAGATGTGTGTTAGGTGCTGAACCTCACCAAACGAAAGGTGGATTTTTACAGCTCACAATCTCTGGTTTCACAATGGGATCAAATATCCTTCAACAGGGGGCAGAGGCACATGCCTGTAATTCCAGCACTTGGGAGGCAGAGGCAGGTGGATTTCTGTAATTTCGAGGCCAGCCTGGTCTACAAATCGAGTTCAGGACAGCCAGGGCTACACAGAGAAACCCTGTCTCGAAAAACCAAAACCAAAAACTCAAGAAAACTATAACTAAAACTATCAATGAACTGTGCAGTTCCTCAGAAATCTGGAAAACTTCCATGTGACCCAGCTATACTGTTCCTGGGTGCACACTTGAGGGAATCCAGGCCGGAATTGCACAGAGACGCCTGGACACCCGTGGCAACACTGTTTCCGGTAGGCAAGTGTGGAGTCAGCCTAGGTACCCATCGGCAGTCAAGTGGGCAGGGAAATGTGAACCGTCTGCACAGTGTTCTTCTCCTTCCACAGCAGAGCAGAATGAATTGACGTCATTGTGCAAGAAATGGATGGAACTGGCCGTCATCATTTAGCAAATAAGCCAGACTCAGAATGATAGATACTGCGTGTTTTGTTTTTGTTTTTGGTTTTTTTTTACTTAGAATTGGGTTTAAATAACAACAACAACAACAGTAATAATAATGTGAAAGTAGAGGGGGTGGGTCCTTTGCGTGGAGGAAGGGGACCAACTGGAGGGGTACATATGACCAAAGTCCATTATATATACACGTATGAAGCACAGAAGCTAACATGGCAGAGGAACATTCATAAATAATGTAGATGATGGCACATACTCAGGAGGCAGAGGCAGGCAGATCTCTATGGTTTCAAAGCCTGTCTGGTATACATAGTGAATTCCAGGAGACTCTGTTCCCAAAAAATAATCATTTATTCTTTTTAGACAGGCAGACATCCAGCTCTTCTGTGAAAACGAGGCCTCTTGCCAGGTCTGTGTCTGTTTTCAGGGAGTAAGCCCACCGCGTTTGGAGAGTCTGTGTCAGTCCTTCCTAGCAATGTCAGTCACATACTTGTGTTTAATCCAAGCTCATTTCATAGACTCTGCTGGTTGTGATTTTTTTTTTTCTGCTATAATGAGAAATTAAATCAAGATTTGCCTCAGACGAGTTCTGAGTGAATTAAGTGTTTTGCAGATGTTTTCAGTCATTACAGGCATTCTGTAAAAAATGAGGGTGTTCAGCCTCTGCAGATTCCCTGCTTTGGTGTTTTCCGATTTAATCCTCAGGGATTAAAAAAGAGTGCTCTAACTTCAGAATTCCTCTCATTAATGCTAAATTTGGGAAAGAGCAACGGGTCAGGAAACCCCAGTTCTCTCAGAAATTTCTTCAGTGGTTAGCCTCACTTTGAGGGCTGGTGTTGTAAGCAGTTACAGGCTCTGTGCTGTGGGACTGAGTCAGAGACCAGTTCTTAGGTGGCCGCAGCAGCTCACCACATTCCGCACAGTGACTGGCCTCACAACCAGGCTTAGTTAGTCTGATCGTTTGTGTTTTTTTTTTTTGTTGTTTTTTTTTTTTCCTTGGAGGTCATGATTTAAACAACTGACTGGAGCCTGAGACTCTGTTTTAATTAGGCTTAGCCTCTATGGCATGGTGAGATTGTTTCTTCAATGGAAAGGATGCTCTGAGCCCTTCACTTTCCCCGAAAGTGTGCCTCTAAGAGTACCCACCCCACTGAAGATGTACCCCCAAAACTGCAAGGCAGCCTGGCCCCCTCCCCCACAGTGCTACAAGACTGATGTACTCCTTCGTGTTCTTGCTTGGTTTTGTTTTTTTGGACAGAGGCTGGTTACGTATCTTAGGCTGACCCCAAACTCTCAGCCTCTCAGGGGCTGGGATTAACAGTGAGTGCCAGCACCCCTGTCAGTGTTTTGCCTCTGCCATGGAAATTCCCCGAGAAAGTCACATTTCAGTTTGTGTTTAAGCCCCTTCTGTCTGTTTTTCTTAGGTTTTGCTGGTCAAGTACAGCATAGTACTAGCGTGTTCTCCCTGCAGTGGAAGCCTTCTCTGTGGGAAGGGGATATTTCCCACTATTTCCCACCTAGCAGGCCTTGATCTAGCATCTGCTCCCCAGTGAGATCCAGGTTACTGTGTGTGGCTGTTTTCATTCTTGGGAGCTCTCTTAACAGCGGTATCTTGGATCTTTGAGATCCACCAAGAAAACGTGTGAGATTGGGTAGATTTAATGTGATTGGTTAATACGAAGATGTCTTTTGTTGGACCTGGAAGGATGGCTTACAGGTTAAGAGCATTTGCTGCTCTTCAGGAGAACATGAGTTCTGTTGCCGACACCTATGCAGGCAGGACTGCTCAAAAGAGTCTAATTCCACTCCAGGGCATCCGTCACCCTCTTGTGGCTGGCCTCTGTGGATACTGTGTGCACGCACACACAACACACATGCATGCACACACACTCCGCATGGATACACACACAACATTCACATAAATCTTTAAGTTACTGTTAAGAGCATCTCTATCATCATAAGGGATTTGTATCATCATCAGCCCACCTGGTGTCTTTCCTGAGGTGGTCAGGCCAAACCCAGAGGTTACAGGCAGGATGAGCCCTTGGACTTAGAATAGCCTTTCAGCCGAGTTTGCTGTGCTTGCCAAGGAAGCTATAATAACAGGCTAATACTCCAGCAAGGTATATAAAAATATCCCTATATACATATAATACGTATTTTAAATGCTTTGCTCACTTGAAAATTGTATTTGTGAAAAATGTCAGAGAAATCATCAGTCTTTAAGTTGAAAGCAAAACACGACTTTTCTTTCTTACTGGCATTTCAGTTCTAATTACTGTTAATTTTGAGCTCCATGCCTTAAAATCCTGGTTCAGACCCGGTATGGTAGTTCATGCCTTTAATCTTGACTTGACTTACGTACTTGAAATAAGGGTTGACTCCTGCTATTTGCTAGTAACCAAAAAATGTGTGCTTCTTTCCAGTTGTTCTTCCGTGTGTTGTTAATTGTCTGCACTGTCTCTTTCTGTTCTAATGGCTGCCCTTGGATTAGGCCGACCTCTGCTCTCCGTATGACATCCTGCTGTTGGATTTTCGTCACATTCGAAAGACTGTTGACACTCTGCTGGCACTCGGGGAGAAACCCCCACAATCAACTTCTGCCCTCCGCTCCAGGGACCTTATAGGCTTCTGTCTTGTCCATGTTCTCTTTATAATACTGGTCTATATCACTTACCACTGGAATGCTCTGTCCGCGTAACCCCCGCATGCGCATCCAAATGCTCTCTGCTCTGGCACCCTGGTCCATCCCAGCTCCTTCCTCCATTGGAGCCTTTGCCTTGCAAACTCCCATCCCTGTCATCTCTTCAGTAAGCTATCAAGTTCTGAAGTTCAACATTTACAAACCAGATTTTTCCAGAAGCACAAACTCTGTAGAATGCAGTTCTCATTGGGTAATTTCTTGTATTTAACTGAAAAGCAACAGTGACAGCAAAGCCTGTCAGTCCATACCTCATGCTCCTTCATGCACAAAGTGCCCTCAGCAATGGTGCTGCGGGTCCTGATCTCTCCCATGAGCCTTTACTGCTCTGGGTAGGGGGTAAGGAGAACCAGGACAGGAACAGGCTGGATTTAGCATATGGGAGTCTTGATACTTGATTCCTGTCCTAATTCAGGACTGGGAATTGAGCTGTAGGACTGGGAATTGTTGCCTTGCAGAGACAAGAAGCCAGCATTTGGGTCCAATATGATTTATACAAATCTGTAATGATGCCATTGTTGACCAAGCTGAGAAGTCTTATCTGGAGAATGACTGCTTTGCTGGCTGGTTAACTGGAGTCCTCCCTGTTTGCTGCAAGGGGGTTGTGGAGGGCACCCAGGAGGGTTGCCACCTTGGTCCCTGGGAGCATGCCCTCTCATATGAGGAAGTGCCTTCCTGTTAGAGCGCCATCTGGCGGATCTGCTTTGCAGGGCTTTTCCTTTTTGTTAGGTCTGTTCTGAAGCCGAGAGAAGGGTTTTCTAGAAGGGATTTCTATTTTTGCATAACGTGGTGGGTCATTTTACTTTGTTGGTATATTGCATAATTGCAGATCCGGAATGTGATGGATTTGACTATTCAATTTTGAATAAATCTATAGAGTCTTGGAACATCCTTGGCACTGGGGCCTTGGGTTACCATAGCAGCAGCCCATAATAAGATTGCTCTTATTTAGACGAATGTTGTTTCTCCATTTACTTGGAATATACATTTGGCCTTTGAGTTCCAGTGATGTTAACGAGCCAACTGTTTATTTTTTAAGTCAGTTTTTAAAGGCTTACATAGCAGCCTCTTACCTTTTGGAGCAAAGTGATGAGCTTTTAATTAAAGAAAAAAAATTGTTACACTTTGCTGTAGGTGCAGATCTTGCCGATCCCTGGGATGCTCTTTAGAATATGAGAAGTCCCTGCTGCAAGCTCCGGCCACCACCGGCTGCTTTGTTTCCTCTCCTTCTTGCCAAACACTGCTTCTTGGGTTGGGAAGATGATGGAGTTAATGCCCTCAAGATAAATGTCTAGTTTGCTGAGACGCGGACATTCCTCTGATATGGCTGCTAAAGAAGAGTATCTTATTTTTTTTTTGAACATACTCATGAGAACAGTGGAGATGAGATTCTGAAAATCCCTCCATACTTGAAAGGATATATTTATAAAGATTCCTTGCTGCTAAATCAGATCTGATTTTTTTCTTTAAAAAAGGAACCATTCTTTGAGATGTTAGACTGTGTGAGCCTTTTCCTCCCAGCTTTGTGTTGATTGGTGAACACAGGGTACGTGTGTGTTGCTGGACATGAGTTGTGTCTAAATAACCACAGATTTCCTGAATTGCCTTTGGTGCTATCTTGTATTTCTCAATCTGTAACAATAAAATCCCTTTGTACAGTGTCTGGTGAGCACCGTGAGCCGTAAGTTGCTTAATAAACACAATTTGGGTGATTAATCCAAGCCTTTTTTTTTCCCCCCCCCCCCCCCCGTTGGCCCGTTGATGCATTTATTCATGGGTACCCAGAGTGGCTCTTGGGATTTCCACCCAGCTCTGCCATGCATGGGGAGTTTCCTTCAATGAACACCACAATTTGTTTGGGGTTTTTCCCTCTTCTTTATGGTGGGGGAAGGGAGAAAAGAGAAAACGTACTGGGTTGCTGGCTCAAGGAAAACCACCGTCAATTAAAAAAATCAAGTGAGTAATAAAACAGTCTTGTGAGGTCAGATTTGATCTTCAGCATTATCTTTCCATATATTTCTCCCCTGGCATCCCAAGGATTCCTTGGCCGAGCTTTTCATTTCTCATGTCATTTATTTACACTTTAATGTGCCCCTCTCCTTGGGGTTTGCTGTGTGATATTTTTTCATTATGGAGTATGGTCACCCACAGAACATAATTAATTCAGCCCTTCAGGCAAAACTTCGAGTGAGTCATTTTGCTTATTATGAGCCAGCCGTTAATTTCCGTTTGGAACACGAGGCTTCTCTGCGCTGCTCCTCCACCGTGCCCGACACCAGCTCGTGAGCTTACATGACACCTGACATTGCAGCCCAGCTGGGGACAGCTGACTAATCTGCCTTTAGGGATTCAGTTATATGATTTGTCCCGCATACCAAACCTCCATCGTCTCATAGGAAAGAGTGTTTTTTTGGTTTTTTTCTTAAAGTATTTCCTGCTAATAGAGGATAAAGAGAAACAGCTGTTTACATTTTTGTTTCGAGGGAGCCATCTACGCTGTATCTCTTTCTTCGGTTCCTGAGACTGGTAGAAAACTGTTTGACTTAGTGTCAGGATTTCCAGCATTTATGACAGCCAAATCTCTATTTGGTCCTTCTGGCCTTTAGATCCACATCACTTCATTGTCCTTAACACTACAGAAAGGAGCCGGTTTAAAAAAAAAAAAAAACACTTCATTAAATCCCAAAGCAGAACAATTTAGTAGGGTTTTTATCAGTGATTGTAGTTAAGTAAATATACTTGATATCACAATGTTATGTGTTTGTAAAAATTGTTGAGTTAGTGGATTATCTCCAGAATTCACACCAGACCCAGTCTGAGTTAAAAGTTTAAGAGCCTGAGAGTAAGTGGTTATAGGTTAGGTAAAAATTTTTCTGCCTCTAAGCTGTGCCCCTCCCCCCCCCATCTCCTGAAAAATATTTTATATAACTTTCTTTCAGGGGGTTTGATTTTAAATGCTGGTTTGAGACTTCAAAATTTCCTTTCAACAGACAGCCTTTTAGGTAGATAGACTGTCTGTGTTTTACTTTCCTTTTAGTTCTTGGCTTTCCCATCGATGTTTTTTCATTCTTGATTCATTCAATTATTCCTTGTGTATTGAATGTGAACTGTGTACTGGCCCCTGTGGGAGGTTCTGCAGATAAAATAGTGCCCAGGATCCATGCCCCTGTCCTCAGAATGTTTATAGTCCATACCCAAGTTTCAGCATTTGGGGACAGGACCAAATGACAGATATTTTATGATTTTTTTTTTTGGGTGATGGTGTCAGTTGCAACTACACAGCTTGTCATTGAAGCATGAATGCCTCCATACAGGAGTCAGTGAGTTTTGTGTGCCAATAAAACTTTATTCGCAAATAATAGATCAGGATTCGGATTAGTTCGCAGGTCCTAGTTTGTGGACCCCTGATCAAATGGCTTCTTAGAAAACAAAAGAGTGATTCAGTAAGAGTCAGTACATGATTCAGTTACTGGATTCTGTGAAACACATAGACAGAGGGCATGGTATTCATGAGGGGGCCGGGTGGATCCTTGAAACAGTAATGTCTACACTAAGATTAGAAAGATGTGTAAGCTAGGTGTGAGTGGCAAGGCAGTGGATGGAAGAGTGAGTGTGGGTAATGTGTTCTAGAGAGAGAAGAATAGCTTCCGTGCAAGTAAAGAATAGAGGGGAGAAATCGAAAGAGATTGACCCTGGGGCAGAACTAGACCTGCATTCTCATGTATTAAAATAACACTCACAGTTCACACAACTCAGTCACAGAATGTTTCCTTAAAAGAGGAAAAAAAGTACAGGCTGAACCAAGGCAAATAAGCTGGTGTGCAGGACTTTGTTTTGGGCCAGCAGTAGGGATAGCTATTTATAGACATCATGAGAAATTGGTAGGGAGAGGAGAGCCAGCGGGGGAAGCAGTCCAGCCTTTCTCCCGCAGTTAGAGCTGTTCTCCTGTTGCTTGCCTGCCTTTTCTGATTCTCTTTGCTGTGGCTCCGAAGAGCGTGGATGGGAGAGCCTGTTCGATCCCACCACTGGGGAAGTAATGGAAAGCACCGGCTCTGAAAAGCACCCGGGTGTCTGTTGATAAGCGGGATAATATTTGTGATTTCATTGCTTGAAAGATAAGAGCACAGGGTGCCCACAGATATATTGGGTGCCCTCTGTCACATTTTTAACAAGTCCTCAGATACCCAGTGGCAGCTTTAGTTCATGGAAAGTCAGTAACCGTGCGCTTCTTTCTGCTTTAAGTCTCTTCTGGACAGGGCTCGCCTGAGGTGGCCCCTGACCTGCCTGGCTCTTGAAAGCCCTTGGTTTTTCTATGCCATTCTTGACCCTGATGTAAATCCACAGCAACTCCAATCCCTTCCACCTTCTGAGCCCACTGTGGGGAGATGCTCAAGTCGGTATCTCCTGCTCCCCATTTCTGCAGGATCTCTGGGTTTGTCCTTCCGATGGACAGGAGTTGCAGATCCCACGTCCATTCCAGCCCTGTGACCTGTTTTTATAGGGTTTCTGGCCTTCGAGGCGAGTTTTCTTAGATGACTCCAAGCCATCAACATGGCCTGAGGCTATCTCTGGATGGGCCTGAATGAAAAGAAAAAGGACGGGTATGAAGGGTATGTTTCTCCTTGTATTGACAGGTGGTCCCTGACCTAATGACATTCAATTAAGATTTTTCTGTGGTTAAGATGGTGCCATTCTGAAAGACTATCCTCTTTTTCCCTTTCAGTATAGGACTCAACAAACTGCAGGAGCTATCCAGCACTTTATAGAATAAGATTGATGCTAAGACAGCGTTGGCCCAGCTGTGGGCTGATATAAGTGTACCGAGCATGTGCGTGGGCCAAGCTGTGACGTAGGTGGGTTAGATTGAGAATCGAACGTCTTGCCACTGCCTTAAGCAAAAGCTACTGTGAAATTTTACTGATTGAGAGAGCTTCATGTAGCACAGACAGGCGTTAAACCTCTGACCCTCTCGGCCCCACCTCCTGCATTCTGGACATAGTGCTTTCTCAGTATCTTGGTTGAACTTGTGGCACACCAAGTCCTTTGTAACTTGATACAAACATACACGTTTGCAGACTTCTTTGTTTATCTTTTCATCAAGTGAGGTTTTTGTTTTTTCACCTTTCACACGGAAACTTCACTTTTTAGGTTTGCAATGTTTTTGATCTTTTCTTTGCACTCTGTTAATATTTCTTTACAGGCCTGGAGGGATAGCTCAGTGGGTAAGACTGCTCTTGCAGACATGGGTCAGATCATGTCCTCCTGTAGCTGTAGTTTCAGGGAATCCAACATCTTCCGGCATCTGTGTGCATATACTCCTCCATGTAGGCACACATACACATAATCAATCAATCTATCTATCTTTAAATACATACTAGTTTAGAAATATTTATTATTCCCTTGTACTCAGAGGCATGTAGAGGTTTAAAAATTTTTTTAACTGTAGTAACTTTTAATTAATGTTAGCATATGATGTGAAATGTTGACTCTCTCTCATTCTCTCTCTTCCAAAATAATGCCTGGTATCAGAAGCTTAGGTGTATTAAACATTTATAATTTCCTACTGGGAAATTATAATGGCCACTGGGGAAGCTAAGAAGAATGAGGGGGACCTACCTCTGCCCCTTTAAACAGCTGTGGCAGAGGAAGAACAGAGCTAAGCGATTTCCTGGCCAGTGCAGATGGTGGCAGAAGAGGACACTGTCATCTAGTTACAGATGTCCCCTCACCATGCCCCCTGAGTCACCATCCCTCCCAACCTGGCTCGTGACTCAGCCTCCATCCTTTCTTACACGGACATGGCCATTAGACTGACTGGCAGTGTAAACTCACATGCCTGCGGCATACATTACAGAGGAGATGGTCATGTTCTGATTCTCCACAGCTACACGAAGGCATGGTAAAGTCGTTCTCACGTGGCCACGTGTGGCCACTTCCTAAGGCCTTTGGTCTAAGCCTCTCTCATTCAGGCAAGGCATATGAACTAGGGAGAAGAGGGGAAGGCCGCTCTGGTGGAGACACACTTTTGAGAATGTGGAACAAGTTTCTGGACATATCAGACCATACATACCTTTGAAGATCTTTTGCTCACAGGGCCTGTAGTGATTCGTAAGGAGACTGTGGTCAAACGTCATCAGGAAGGTCTAATCCTACATCAAGGTTATGTAGAAGGACGAAGTCTTGTTCCCAGGATAGGCTTGATGCTAATTAACACAATCCACCTGCACCCAATGCAGTTCCTATTTAAACTCTGCTAGGCAACAGGGCTGCTCAGTCTTCCTAAAGAAACTCCCTTGTTAGACATGCAGGAACCTAGAGGGCCTTATATATAAGTTAAAGCAAGCCAGGCACAGAAAAACAAGTACCACGTGATCTCACTCGGCGACTGAAGGAAAGAGAGGGGGAGGGAAGGAAGAAAGGAGAGGAGTGGGGGAGGAACCAGTTTCATAGAAATTACCAGGGTCTGGAGAACATGTTCTAAAGATATTGGGGAAGAATTTTTTAAAAAAATCTGTTATATAGAAGGGGAAAAAAAAATGAAAGAGACAGAGACCAACCCTTGGGCTGTAGGCAGTCTGCCATCATTGACGTAAGTGAAAATGTCTGCTGTGGGGTTTTTTCTCACCTAACAAGATACAGGAGAACCCTCTGGGTAAAAGACTAGGGCCAAATGACAGAAGGGGAAATGTCTTTTCGTATTATTTTGTAA